GGAAGTATGTTCGTATTCAGTGATTTTAGAAGCCGGGCTAACTTCTTCCACTTTATTTTTTTCACTTTTTGGAGGCAAAAGGGCCCTATCTACCTCCTTATTCAAACTGTCTGGGTCCTTGGAATCTCGACTGTCAGCATTTTGGTCCTCACAGAAACTGGGCTTTTGTGCTTTGTCTTCCAGTAAGTCAGGGATTTGAACTGGAGCAGAACCTTCCTCAGACTCTTTCTTTTTGTTAACTGAGTCTGTTGGAAAATTATTCCTATCTGCACATGCTTCTAGGATTCTGACCTCACCTGGTAGGCTCTGGTCTTCTACTGGCACTCCAGAAAGGTGTCCCTTTGCAAGCTCTGTGATTTTTTCTATTGAAGGCTTAGATGCAGCACTGGGCACTGACTGAGATCCTCCCATCACAGGTCCTCCATTCATCCCTCCTTCATTCTTCATGGGATCAGCAAGCTCACCTTTATTCGTAAGACAGTTACCTCCCTGGCTCTTAACTGTTTCTACGGCTGCTGTAAAAGCGAGGGCAACCCCTCCTCCCATGCTTGCAGAAGGCCTAACAGCGGAGGGGGCCTTGGGTCTTTCCTGACCTGGGACTCCATCTTTGCTGCAATTATCTACCAATAATAATTTGGATATCTGGGCTGGAGAGGTCTCTTGCCCACTTTCTGCCAAGAGGTTTGGAAAAGAATCACCCTCCTTTACAACTTGAGAAGCACGAGTGGGCAGTCCTTCACGGGCTGCTGACTCCAGAGCCTCTGGAAGGGCTGACTTATTCATCAACCCTGGGAGTGTTCTGGGGCAGGTAAATGTGATATTTCTATTTTCGTCCACATAGCCCATTCCTTCAGTTCTGTGGTCCCCTGTGGTTTCCATGGGAACACGTATTTTTGATGCATCTATCGTATTCTCCAGAAGATGCTTCTCAGGAAAACTATTTTTAACCTTTTTACTTTTTCCATCATTGCTCCTTTCATTTGGTTTGTCAGCCACTGCAGCATGTCCCTTGGCTGCATCTGTCTTATTTTCTACAGACAGTGCTGAAGGGACAAATCCTGCCCCCTGGATTTGGTCTTGGCAGCTCACATCTGTCACCTTGGTAGCTGGTTCAATAACAGCGGAGTCCTTGACTATATTTGTCTTGTTCCCACCAAGAGCCCCAAGCTCAAAAGAATTAACCTCATCATTCCTCCCTTTTTGGTCACCTACTTCCACTGTGGGAATAGCTGATGTACATGGGGACAAAGGATCGTGATTTAAAGGGAAAGCAAGTCCTACGTCCTTGTTTTGATGAGGAGTACTCCCAGCATCTCTATCCTTCCCTACAGAAGGTGGGTTGGGGGTTTCTTCCTTGCTCTCCATTCTAGCAGGCTGTGTGGAATAATTATTTTTGAACTTTTTGTTTTTGCCCTCACTACTCCTTTTTTTAGGCTTTTCAGAAATCCAAGGAGCTGCCTCACTACCCATCCAAGGACATTTTCCTTCCTTGCTCTGGCTACTGACACCCCTATCGATGGCTGCGGCCCCTCTTTCTGTTCTAGCGCTGGAAGTCTGAGCTGTGCCTGACCCATTTCCCAAAGGAATCAACATGTGTGAGGCGCTGGCCCCCCAAGCGTCAGCCATCTCTGTAGGCTCCCCCATCACCACCCCCTCAGTGAGACTCACTACGGTCCCTGGTTGCTTTGAAGAACCCAGCTCCTCACTCTTCTCCCCAGCAGGCGTTCTTTCGGTTTTAGGGGCTGGCTCACTTGGCGCCAGAACAGCTGAGCCATCCTTCCAGCTGTCCACAAAAAACGGTGGCTCAGATCTTGCTCTTCCCTTCCCAGAACCGGCTCTCACCCTCCCAGAACCTGCCCTTGCCTTCCTGCTTCTGCCATCGCCTGCTATTCTCTGAGATGGCTCATTCTCTAGCCCAGGTGTCGGAACTAACATCTCGTCCTGCGGCTGCTTGGAAGCTAAGATGCTCATCTCTTGGCTTGGCTTGGGAAGAGCTTCCTTTGTTAGTTCTTTAATCCCTTCAGAAAACCCTGTCTGTTTGTCTTTCTGCAATTTAGTCACTTTACTTTCATCATTCCCTTCTTTTAGACTACTTCCTAACGAGGAACCTGCTGGCAAAGTGGGCACCAGATCAGGCAATTCTTTTGCTGCTGTGGGTTTTGAGTCCCCACCCATGGCCTCTTGGTCCAAGACAGGAGAGCAACCCTCTTTGGGTTTGATCTCCAAGGGAATTTCTACTTTGTGTGCAGAAACTTCTGTCAAAGGTTCTTTCAGACCAGGCGAGCCTACTGTCCGGCCTTCATCCACGGGAGTCTTCAGGTTGGGTATAGGCTCTGGTTTGCCTTCACCTAGCTGTAGCCATTTCTGGTCCTGGCCCAGTGGTACTGACTTGTTACCACTGACTTTCACTTCTCTTCCTGGCTTGGGCTGAGAACTTCCTGCAGTTTTCAGGGGTTCTTCCAAAAGACACAAAGGAACACTGAGACTTTCTGAGACGAAGTTCTCAGCTACCAGTTTGGCGGCTCTGGACTCCACTTCACATTCCTTTTTTAAGTTTTCTCTGGACGCTAGTCCATATTCTGTGCCCACTGTGGGAGGCAGGGTGGGGAGAACCCCTGATTTCTCTGGGACTGCTGCAAAGGGATGACCTTTATGGTCGTCCACACTGTTGTCATCCCAAGGTCCCCCAGCTCGGGGTTGAGAATATCTCTTTTGCTTTGGTTTCTTCTTTTTTTTCTTCATCATTGGTGAACTTTCTATATTCCAGGCCTCCCTGCCAAGATCTCGCTTAGGTTCAAGGAAGTCAACATGAGTACTTTTCTTTTGGTTCCCAGGCTCACCATAAGTAGACGGACCAGAGACCCAACCCAACTCAGACAAAGAGCAGGGGCCCAGGCCAGGATTGAGAGTCTTCTGTGGAGAAGAGCCTCCCAGCAGCTCAGGCGGGACCCTGGCAGGCCTGGGCCGAGTGGACCTGCGATCACTGGGTCTGCACACTTGTTTGCCTTGTGTGGGAGGGGTACCTGTAATACATGAAGTTGGCCAAAATTCCAAAAAAAAAAAACTCCTTGTTATTGTTTCTTAAAAAAAAAAAAAAAGTCCATTTACTGACTCAGTTAAGTCTATTTTCACCAACCCACACACTAATTGATTTAGGAAAACAGTTTTTTTCTAAAGTATTTCTCACTCTTAACTGGAATTAGCAAATTAACAAAGATCATCATCTCAGGTAAAGAAAAAAATTCAAACAGAGATCTTCTAAACCTTCTATAATAAGTAGTGCCTGTAAATCTCATCTGATATTTATATTTGTCATTATTTTTAATAGGTACATAATTCTCAATTCCGCAACAAGATGGTAAACTCCTATCTCTTTCTGGTGACATTTGTTAATTAACTGAATGAAATATATATGATTTTGGACAGAACTTATAATTCTAAGAGTCTGTCACCAATATTATACTAATTACTTGTCAGGCTAACCAGATCAACTCTGGGAAACAGAACAGGAGGCCAGACTTATGCTATGGGGGGCGGGGTGGGGGGGAGAAGAAAAGAAAAAAAGATACTGAATTAGTATTTTGGCCAAAGAAAAATCCTCATCATTCCAGAACCAAAGCCTCCTACTTTGAAAGACAAATGTGTTAGATTTCAATGTTCTGTTCCTAAATGTACTTCCTGAAAGACAGAAAAATATACATAATGCCCAGTAGGTAGAATTAGAACAATTAGGATAACCACCCTTAGAAAAGTTTCAGGAAATCAACTGCTCCAACCTCCTGTCGTCAAGTCAGTGCAGCATGGATTCAAGGTCCTGGAAAGAGTCCCACTAAGAGCAGGTCTAGGACAGCTTTTGTCAAGTCTGACCCAATGAAATGATTTCAGAAAACATGAGAACACTTACGTAGCACCATTTGTTCTTGTTTTCACCCTCCAATGTCCTCCAAATCCTACCCTTGATTTAACACCTCAGGTCAGTTACTGCTTCTCTCAAAAAAGTGCTAGGCTTTAGTACTCCACAACATTTATAATATTTAATTTGGCAATTAACCAGCAGCTATTTGGTGCTATCTCTTATACTATTTATTGAATTATTATATAAATCTTTGGTTTCAGAGTTCATGCCTGGCAACTTTCCTTACCATACAGGCTATAACAACACAAGGGCAAGGACCCAGACTTAAATAATTAATGCCTCAGCATGGTGTACTTTGTACATGATAAGGACTTGATAAATCTTTATTGATATATTGGTCACTAAAACAACATTTAAAAAGATCGAACTTTATTTAGCTCCTACTTGGGGCTAGACAGTATATAAGCACTACAGAATCTCAGTGACATAAGTCGTGGTCCCTGTCCTCAAGTGCACATTCTAATCAGTCGCAGAGAATCATTAAGCTGATAATCATACACACGTGCTTTGGGCTTACATCAAAAACGTAATCTTAAAGTTCACTGAATGACTGAACTCCAAGTTAGAAAGTACCTTGGAGCAATGCCTCTCCGAGTTCAGTGTATACAAGAATTATCTGGAGAACTTGTTAAAATGCATATAAAGGTCTGAGGTGGAATCCAGGATGATGCATTTCTAACAGGCTCCCAAGCAATGCAGATGCTGTTGGGCCACGAAACACACTGTAACTAGCAAGGGCTTACTAGCAAAGGTTTATAGAACATTTGACCAACATATTCCTCTTATAGCTGAATAAACAGAGAAACAGGGAAGTTAAATAACCTGCCCAAGACCACACAGCATAGAATAGTGAACAGCTGAACGGAGTTAAAATTTAGATCTCTTGAGTTGATGCGATAATTTTAAAATATGTAAGCAGCTTTCTGCCTAAACAAGATAAAAATCTGTCTAAGAAGGAGAATGGACTTCATAAACAATACTGCTAATTAAACCACCACAAAACCAGGGACAACATCAACCACCACCAACCCATTGCTCCCAGTCCAAGTGGTTTCAGAGAGTCCACTGGGTGTCCCTCACTTACCTGAGGTCTCTGAAGGAAGCTCGGAAGGTTGACTACTGAATGGTTTCTTTTGCTCTTGTTTCTCTAACACAGAATCCTCCGTCGGCAGGTTGGACTTTTGGCCCACGGCTGTGGCTGGATCTAAATGTAACAGCAAAAACCACACAGGTTTTAGAGCAGCACTACTTCAGCTATTTTTCCACCTTTCAAAAACTGGGAGCAGGAAGTTTTGGAGGAATGAGAGATGCTCCTCTGAGGGCAGCAGAGAAATGGAGTGGTGGCTGGAAGGTGAAGTTGGGAAAGTGTTTTGTTTTAAATGGGAAAAATAAATATTTGTATGTTGGTGGGGAATGATTCAATGGACAGGGGGAAAAACTGGTGAGTGGCAAGAAAGGAAATGGCTAGGGCATCCTAAAGTAGGGAAGAGGAGGTGGGGTCTAGGGGCAAAATGGAGATCGGCCACAATTAGGGGCAGGCAGAGACTAGGGATACAGTATACAAGTAGGTAGATGAGGTGGCAGAAGTCTGTGAACGTTCTCTTTTATTGTTGAAATTACCAACAAGGAAAACAGATCAGCAGAGAAATAAGGAGGGAGATGTTGGAAACCGGAGGATGAAGGTGAGAAAGACAGTCTAGGAGAGCGGCAATGTGTGTAGACTTGCAAAATACAGTGTAATTGTCCTTATTTTATCTGGTTTGTCCCTCACCTTTCTGGTGAGACCCTGGGAGACAGAAATACAGAGTAAACATAAACCCATACCTGGAGAACTGATGAAAGTAGATGCAGCTGACTGCCCCTCATCCTTGAGAGATTTTAACTGGGACTCCTCACTTATTTCTTCCTGTGACCGCGCAATGTCCATGTCCTTAACTGGAACTGGTGCCACCTCTGTTTCTGAGAGTGCTGCAACATCCTTGGCTGGACTCACACTGTTGGCCAGAGTCACCTCTGTCCCAGGGAGCGGAGCCACATCCTTAGCCAGGGTTAACTCTGTTTCTGGAGGCTGAGGCACATCCTTGATCAGGGTTACTTCTGTTTCTGGGGGCACAGCCACATTCTCACCCAGGGCCATCTCTGTTTTTGGAGGTGAAACCATGTCCTTGCCCAGGGCCAATTCTGTTTCTTGGGGTGGAGCCACATCCTTGCCTAGGGCCATCTCTGGTTCTGGGGATGGAGCCATGTCCTTCACTAGAGCCTTTTCTGTAACTGGATGTGGAGCCATATCCTTGACTGGGGCCACCTTGGTTTCTGGGGGCAGTGCCACATCCTCGGTCGAGATCACCTTGGTTTCCAGAGGCAGCGCCATGTCCCCAGTCAGGGCCACCTCTGTCTCTGGGGACAAGGCCACCTCCTTGGCTGGGAATATTTCTGTGGATGACAGAACATCCTTAGCCAGTGCCACTTCTATTTCTGAGAGTGATACCACACCCTTGGTTGGGGCCATCTGTCTGTCTATGGGTGGTACCATGCCCTCATCTGGGGACACATCCATTTTTATAGGTGGGGCCCTCTCTGTTTCTTTGAATGGTAATACATCCGTGGCTGGGGCTACCTCTGTTTCTGTGGGCAGTACCATGTCCTTGGCTAAAGATACATTGGTTTCTGTGGACAATACAGCATCCTTAACCGGGGCTTCTTCTGTTTCTCTGTGTAGTACCATGTCCTTGACTAGGGCCATATCTGATCCGATAGGTGATTCCATGTCCCTAGCCAGTGTCACATCTGACTTGGTAGATGGTTCCGTGTCTTTAGCCAATGCCACCTCTGTTTCTGTGGCCTGTGCCATGTCCTTGGCTGGAGACATCTCTGTTTCTCTAGATGGTGCCATGTCAGCAGCCTTCAGTCCCATCCTGATTTCCAATGCTTCTGCTGATGCCCTCTCTCCTGCTGATGTCACTTCTACCTCTTCGGCCGGCTCTACGGGAAATAAGTTGGAAATTTAGGACCCATCATTGTGTGCTCGGAGCTCTGCATTCAAAACTTCTTTTCTGAGAGCATAGGAGTATCTAGATTTTGTGACCATTACACACTAAGCATGACCTAAAAAGCTGTCTAATTAATGTATTTGTGCCTACTCTCTGATAGTCCCAGTACTGAGAAGAACAGGATTTTGAGAGAGTAAAGAGTGGAGGAAGAAAGGAAAAGGAAAGAAAAAAACACAGGTTTAAAATCAACAGCAACAACACAGGCACACAATTATTTTAGGAATGGGAACCTGTGGGACATCCAGAAAAAAACCTCCAAGTCCTGAGTATGCACTCAATTAAAAAGGGATTTTTCTCTGCCCGTGAACTCCAAGTATTGTATTTCAACCACACCTTCATTCCTTCAGCTGTGAAATCAGTAATTAAAGGAATAAAAGCATTTGTGATAGTTCTGAAATTTTTATCTATACTGCTTTATGCTGCTAAAAATTAAGTCTGATGATTTAAATTGACTAAGATACTACAACCATTCAGTGATAAAGAGGGGTTGTAATAAGTTACCTGCTGTGGGCTGCAGAGGTTGTGTCACAGCCTCTGGGGAAATGAAGGATTCCAAGTGTGGAGAGTTTGGGGCTTCCACAGGCCACCCCTGAGGTCCAACACTTTCAGGAGCGAATGTGTCACAGGGAAACAGACCTAATATTGAAAACACAAACAAAGAGATTTTTGAAAACTGGGTCAATAATAGGGAGAAAAAGGCATATATTTAAAATCAGCTTTATACATCTGCCTTCAGCTCAGGTCATGATCCCAAGGTCCTGGGATAGAGCCCCATGTCGGGCTCCCTGCTTAGCGAGGAGCCTGCTTCTCTCTCTCCCTCTGCCCCTCCCCCTGCTCATGCGTGCTAATAAATGAATAAAATCTTCAAAAAAAATCAGCTTTATATATTTGCCATAGCGACACAGGACCAATGAAAAACAAAGCAAGAAAGTTTTAAAGTAAAAACCACTGACGTTCTTCAGGGTTTTGGCAAATTGTTAACTGGCTGTCATATCATTAGTCAGCATTGATTGGCTACCTTCTACATTGTATTGTGAAGAGTAAAAATACTGAAGACTGAATGCTAGCACCAATAAATATCACAAATGATACAAGATAACACATAGTAAGGAACTGAGTCTTGATTTCCTCATCTGTAAAATGAAATCAATGCCTCCCTCTGCAACATTACAATAGTTTTGTGAAAATGCTTTATAAATTATTAAGAAATAGACAAGTGTTAAGGGATTGTTATTACGCTGTGCTCTAAGACATAATAGGGGATTTACTATCACATGGTCCTTGCCAACAAGAGTATTACAATTTAGCTATAGAAGCAAGACAGACATGTATCAAATACTGTATAGTATGGACTAAGTTCTCTAATAGTTTAAAAACAACCATGAGGACCAGAACAGTGACAGAAGAGTTCAGAGGAGAAGCAAGAGCAGGAAGAGAGGAGAGAGTAGTCAATTTGAAGGATGGAGAACACTGAGCAAAAAGAAAGGTATGAAAATGCCAATAGGACAAGAATGTTTCTGTGACTACAAAATTAGCTGGATTCAAGTAGATGTTGCATACCAGAGAGGGAAAATAGGATTAGAACAAACAATGGAAGAAGGATTTGGAAAGCCAGAGAAATTTAGACTTGAGAGGAAAAAAAGAGTGTCTTAAGGTCTTAATGAAAATGAGATGATGAATACAGAACAGGGACCTAGTGACCAAATCAGCAGATATATGTGGAATGAATTTAAAAGGGAGCAGCTTAGGTATAAAGTGATAGGGGCTTTACATGGGGGAAGGCAGCAGAGGGAGCATAAAGGAAGAGAAGATGCTGTAAAGAAGTCAATGGGACTAAATGACTCACTGAAAGCTGAAAAGCATCAGGAGACTACACAGATAGCACATCAAGGTCAACCCATTTAACATCCTTCCCCCTAGAGATCTGCAGTCCAAAGAGAAGCATAAATACAACATATTATTAGCCATGATCTTTACAAATAGAAAATTATAAGCATTGTTGGAAGTGGGACTTATTAGTGATAGGTACTGAAGGAAACCTGAAAGTCACCACCAAAATATGCCTCTTTGACATAAAAATTATTTTGAGCTGAAGGCAAGTAGGGAGCGGTAAACCTAGAAAAACCTCTCCACTTTCTGCTTAAAGGCAGGATATAAATTCTCCACTTCCTGGAGACAGATTACCAGCCCAGAGAGGGCACCAGAGGAATCTGCAGACAAACCTTACTCCATCAGTTCCCTCCCATGCATTTTCTTCTCACAGTTTGCCACTCAGGAAAGCCTAAAACTGCTTTCCTTTGTCCTGTCATTTCTTTACACATTTACTGTTCTTTGTTGAAGATACTAACCAAAATTCTAAGCTACCACTTTGCATCACTTTTCACCCGTATGGTAGATGCTGCATGTGTTAACAAAGTGTCTCCTGTTAATCTGTCTTTTTGTTTTAGAGTCCCAGCTGAAAACCTAAGATGGGAGGAAGTAACGTTTCACCTCCCCCACAGTATCCTGGCCACATTCATGTTAAAAGTTACACAAAACCAGGAATAAGGATACTACTAATTGAGAACTAAGATCTGTTTAATGTTTACTAATTACCAGATGCCATGAGAAGTGCTTTTACAAAATTTTATTTCATTATCACCACATCTTTAAGGTAGGAACTACTGCTGGCCCCATATGGTAAAGAAATCAAAGTTTAGAGAGGATATAATTTACCCAAGGTAATGAGCTACTAAAATGTGGAAAGAGAATCTGGCCCTATCATATCGTATTCAAGATCCCATGAGAGGAGGTGAGCAGACACTGAGCACCCCAACTGCTGAATTCTCTCCTGAGACCAATCTAGATAAAGCCTTCTTACAGCCAGAGCCAAAAAACATGACTTTGCCTAGTGGTTAACTTCAAAGGTGATGGGTAAAAGGCAACATTAATTGTTGGGAGTTAAGCAATAAATCCAGTTGAAGACATCATACCATAACTGTCTTGCAGGGGATCATTTTGTTCTGTAAATGCTGAAGCATTGGTTGTTCCACTGGGGAGAAAGAGAAAATCCTCCAGGCCATCATCATGGTGCATCTTAAAGGGATCTGCAAAAAAGAAGAAATTTAAAACTCATTCCCAGTGAATACAACTAAAAAGATTAGCATTCCTTATTCTATGATGAATATTGATTGGTTACATGTGTCATCAATAGAAGTTAAATAAATTGAGAAAATATGTAACTGAACATGGTAGAGACTACCTTCTTCCTTTGTTACAAGTTAAGAATATATAATCTCATATTCTCTTTTGATTCTCTGAATCAGCCAACAAATAAAAAACTAAAGGCACAACCAATGCTCAATTCTATAATATGCTAAGAGGTGAAATTACAGATATAATCAAACTCCAATATATATATTTAGACATTCATTTTAGGTTATTAAGAAAAAAAAAAGACAGCCAGACAAGTAAAAAAAGACATCTTCACCTCATTGGACATCATGAAGAAACCGACTTTTAAGAAGTTGTCTGAATGAGACAAGGTGAACAGCTGGCGTCTTCAGAATAGAGATAAACTCCAGAACCATGAGCTGCCATTAGTGAAGGCACTCAAAACGTCAGGGAAACTCTGTGCCGCCTTCTTTTTTTTTCTTTTTTAAGATTTTATTTATTTATTTGACAGAGAGACAGTGAGAGAAGGAACACAAGCAGGGGGAGGGGGAGAGGGAGAAGCAGGCCTCCTGTCGGGCAGGGAGCCTGATGTGGGACTGGATCCCAGGACCCTGGGACCATGACCTGAGCTGAAGGTAGACGCTTAACGACTGCGCCACCCAGGCGCCCCAACTCTGTACCTTCTTACATGAGAAAGAAAAGCAAAGCCAGTCAGGCCAAGCAAGAATTTTGCTATTAAGGGACACTTGTTCTGATGAGCTCTGGGTGTTATATGTAAGTGATGAATCACTAAATTCTACTCCTAAAACCAATATTACGCTAACAAGAATTTTTTTTAAAGATTTTATTTGTTTATTTGAGAGAGCACATAAGTGGGTGTGGAAGGGCAGAGGGAGGAAAAGCAGACTCCCTGCTGAGCAGGGAGCCTGATGCAGGGCTCAATCCCAATCATGACCTGAGCTGAAGGCAGACACTTAACTGACTGAGCCACCCAGGCGCCCCAAACTAACTAGAATTTAAATAAAATTATCCTGTGTGCTCACTGCTACTACCAAGTCTACTTCCATCCTTGAGCAGACAGATCAGCATGTATTCCAACACAAGTAAAGGATACTCAGCCTTTAACTGTGGATACTGTTTCCAAATTTATTTAAAGTTGCCTCCTTTCTTTTTGATCTTTAGTCATGAAATGTTAACAAGAGCAGCGCCTGGGTGGCTCAGTCGTTAGGCATCTGCCTTGGGCTTAGGTCCCAGGGTCCTGGGATCGAGCCCCGCATTGGGCTCCCTGCTCAGCAGGAAGCCTGCTTCTCCTTCTCCCACTTCCCCTGCTTGTGTTCTCTGGGAAGTACGAACAGCGGAAGGCAAACATTGGAGTCATCCTTAACTTCTCTCTTTCATATACCATTCCCAACTCGTAAGAAAATCCAGCTGAGATGACCTTCAAAATGTCCCCCAGGATCTATTTTCCCCACCTCCACTGATTATGGTGTCTCACAAGGCTATATGTAGTCAAGGCACTGGCCAAGGCTGTGATCATCAGAAGACTTGACAGGGGCTGGAGAACCTGCCTACACAGCGGCTTATTTACTTACCTCTATTGACTAGAGGCCTCTGATTCTCCCCTACATGGGCCTCTGCATAGCAACTGGCTATCCCCAGGGTGAGTAAACCGAGAATAACCAAGATGGAAGTCACAGTGTCTTTTTATAACCTAATCTTAGAAATGACATACCATTATTTCTGCCATCTATTCTACTGACCACACAGACCAAGCCTATACGATGTGGGAGGTTACTACACAAAGGTGTGAATACCAGGAGCTGGGGATCATTGGAACCATCTTGGGGGCTGACTACCACAGTTGGCTTTCAAGACATTATACTCTTCTGAGTTTTCTCCCCTCAAAACTGGCCATTCCTTTGACGTTACCCTTGCTGGTTCCTCTTCTTCCTGACTTAAATTAGTAATTAAAAACGACTCACAAAGAAAATCTCTGGCTAAGGTGGCTTCGCTGATCAATTCTACCAAACATTAAAAGAAGAATTAAAACTAATTCTTCATAAACTCTTCCAGAAAAACCTGAAGCAGGCAGAACACTTCCTAACTCATTCTCTGGTTGGTATTACCACAGAATGTTAATACCCTGATATTTCTCTGATACCAAAACTAGACAAAGACATCATAAGGAAACTACAGATCAGCATCTCTTCTAAACATGGATGCCAGAATCTTCAACAAATATGTTTATGAATGTGCCAGAAAATAACACAAATTATACGCCATGACTAAATGGGATTTATCCCAGGAATGCAAGACTGGTAACCAAAGTAATATATATGTATCAGCAGAATAAAAATTAAAACCACATGATCATTTCAATAGATGCAGAAAAACCACTTGACAAAACCCAACACCCTTTCATGATAAATCAAGTACTTGACAAATTAGGAATAGAAGGCACCTTCTTTAATCTGATAAATGGCATCTGCAAAACACCCTCTGCTGACACCATACTTAATGGCCAAAGACTGGATGCTTTCCCTCTAAAGAAAGTTAACAAAACAAGGATGTCTGCTCTCACCACTTCTAGTTAATCATTGTACTGAAGGTTCTAGCCAGGAAAATTAGGCAAGAAAAAGAAATAAAATGCATCAAGATTGGAAATGAGGAACTAAAACTACATTTGTAAGTGACATAGCATACATGTGGAAAATCCTAAGGAATCCACTAAAAAAACTACTAGAACTAATTAATTGAGCAAGGTTGAAGATACAAGATCAACATACAAAAACCAATTGTATATCTATACCATCCCAAAGAATAATCTAAAAATGAAATTAAGAAAACAATTTCATTCATAGCATCAAAAAGAATAAAGTATTAGGAAAAAATTTTATAAACAGGGATATAAAATTTATACTGTGAAAACTACAAAAATATCATTGAAAGAAATAAGATATAAATAAATGGAAAAACATTCTATGTTTATGGATTGAAAGACAATATTGTAAAGATAGCAAAACTCAATTTGATCTATAGGTTATATATATTTATAGATCTATAGATCTATAAATTCCTATAAGAATCCCAGCTGATCTCTTTATAGAAATTGACAAGCTGATTCTAAAATTCATATGGAATCACAAAAGATCCAGCCAAAACAGCTAAAATAATTAAAAAACAAAACAAACAAAAAACAAAAACAACAACCCAACCCCACAAAAGTGAGGAAAACTCACACCTCCTAACTGCAAAACTTACCACGAAGCTATAGTAATCATGAAAGGATAGTACTGGCATTAGGACAGACAGACAGATCCAGTGGAACAGAACTAAGAGTTGATAAACAAAATTATGTATCTATGGTCAACAGATTTCAGCAAGGATGCCAAGACCATGAAATGGACAAAGAACAGTTTTCAAAAAAATGCAGCTGGGACAACTGGTCAAACTGGATGTTTGGTCAACATCCAAAATAATGAATGTGGATCTCTCTACCTCTCACCATATACAAAAATCAGCAAGGATGCCAAGACCATGAAATGGGAAAAGAACAGTTTTCAAAAAAATGCAGCTGGGACAACTGGCCAAACTGGATGTTTGGTCAACATCCAAAATAATGAATGTGGATCTCTCTACCTCTCACCATATACAAAAATCAACTTACAATGGATCAAAGATCTTAATACAAGAGCTAAAAATATAAAATTTTTAGAAGAAAACATAAGGATAGGGGTGCCTGGGTAGCTCAGTTAAGCATCTGCCTTCGGCTCAGGTCATGATCCCAGGTCTGGGATAGAGTCCTGCATCAGGCTCCTTGCTCAGCGGGAAGCCTGCTTCTCCCTCTGCCTGCTGCTCCTCCTGCTCCTGCTTCTCTCTCTCTCTCTCAAATAAATAAAATCGTCAAAAAAAGAAAAAGAAAAACATAAGGATAAATGTTCATGACCTCAGATTTGGCAGTGGAGTCTTAGATGTAACACCAAAGCATGAGCAACAAGAGAAAACCTAGATATATTGGACTTCATCAAAATAAAAAACTTTTATGCATCAACGGGCACTATCAAGAAAATTAGGAGACAACCCACAAAATAGGAGAAAATATTTGCAAATCATAAATCTGGTAAGGGTCTAGTATATAAAGAACTCTTACAGGACAACAACAAAAAAGATACACCAATTAAAATTGGGATAAGGATCTGAATACATGTTTCTCTTAAGGAAGATATACAAATAGTCAATAAACATATGAAAAATAAAAAGATAATGAACATCATTAGCCAACAGGAAAATGCAAATTAAAATCATAACAAGATGTACCACTTCAATCCCAACTAGGTTAGGTATAATTTTTCGAAAGGGAAAACAAGGATTTTAAGTATGTGGAGGAATTACAAACCTAATCCACTACTGGTGGGAATATAAAATTGTACAGTTGCTTTGGAAAATAGTTGGGCAGTTCCTCAAATGATTAAACACTGAGTTATCAAATGATCAGCAATACCAATCTAGGTATAAACCCAAGGGAAATGAAAATATATGTCTACACAAAAACCTGTACATGAATGTTTAAAACCGCATTAGTGACAACAGTAAAAGAAAAAAATGCAAACAACCTATATATTTATCAACTGATGAACAGATAAACAAAATGTGGTATATCCATACAATGGAATATTATGAGTTCCTCTGAAAGAATGAAGTACGGATGTGTACCACAAAATGCATGATCCTTGAAAACTTGCTAAGTGAAAAAGCCAGTCACAAAAGACCACATATGATTTCATTTATATAAAATGTCCAGAATAGGTAAATTTAGAGACAGTAGATTAGTGGTTGCTTATAAAAATGTTCTAAAGTTGATTCTGGTGATGGCTATACACACACACACACACACACACACACACACACACACACACGAATATACTAAAAATCCACTGAATTGTACACTTGATTTTGTTTCTTGAAGATTTTATTTATTTATCTGAGAGAGAGAGAGCATGAGTGGCGGGGGTGGAGGAGCAGAGGGAGAGGGAGAAGAGATTTCCTGCTGAGCAGGGAGACCAACATGGGACTTGATCCCAGGACTCTGGGATCATGACCTGAGTTAAAAGCAGATGCTTAACCGACTGCGGCACCCAGGCACCCCTGAATCGTACACTTTAAATAGGTGAACTGTATGGTATATGAATTATATCTTAATAAAGCGGTTTTTAAAAATTACCATATATTGAGAATAGCCAATAATTGGAAAATGGTATAGAACATCAAGTACTAGATTATTTGGAACGAGCTATGAGCACCTTGTAATAAGTTAGATGGTAAAAAAGAAGCCATATATAAGTGCAAACAAAAAAACTGAGCTCTCAACCTGGCATGGAGCCATTGATATCACTCCTTTGAGGTCCCACTGCAATCCATTCCGGCCACCATTTCCAGCTCTAGGCAACTACACATATGCTTTTTATGTCTACAGAATAGTGTGATTTTATAGAAATTGGGTATGAGTCCTAGTCTTCCCTCCTGTCAAATGAGAATAATATATACTTGCAGAGTTAGGTAAGAAACACAGAAAATATGTATAAAAAGGCTCTAGCCCTGTGCCTGGCACACAAAACAGACATTCAACAAATGGTGCTACTATTACTGTATTAATTCCTTTTCGAAGAATTACGATTCTACGATACTACTGACCATTTAGTCTTCAATGAATATGAATTTCAGTTAAGTTACTCAAAACGGTCTTCGAAAGGGAGAGATATGGAGGGGCATGCGCATCAGAAGAAGGGACTGAGAGGAGAAAGGGTCAACTAAATGTTCAGGGCAAAGGGTTACACTCTGGTTGTGCTTTGCAAGCTATATTTAGGCTAAAACGTTTTATCTGAGTGGTGGCTACAAATTTTTCATGTTTATGTCATCACTCATACTGAACAGTCACAGGCAAGCCTGCACTTACCAGTTTGGGTAGGATTCACCAATTGTTGTGGTTCAAAGCAAAAGTTTGTGTTTTCTGGCCAGCTCTGGATGTTCTGATATCCCTGGTAGGCCATTTTCTCTTCAAGGAATGGACTTGGAGAACCTTCAGACAGAAACACCAAACAGAAGTTACAAGGTATTACTGTCCTCTCCTCCACTAGAATTGAGTTTATTACTGTCTTCTCCTCCACTAGAATTGAGTTTCTTACTAGTATCACAGTTAGTACAATATGACAAAAATCATACCTACCTAGTGCATTTTCAAGAATTTTTTTTTTAATTTTAAGACAGAAAAACATAATCAAAATACTGGAAGTATAAACCTGTTATAAAGTTAAAAACACCGCAGGCTATCTTCTGGGTATGGTATGTGAAAAGGTTAGTGATTTTTACCCACAAAAGAACAAGTACAAAATTTGACAAAACTGTCAACAGCAATCATTTCAAGTCACCAAAATTTTTTTAAATGTCAGATCTAAATAAATGGGGAGATATATACTATGGTCATTAATAGAAGATTCAATATTGTTAAGATGGTGATTCTCAAACTGACAATAGAGTCAAGGCAATCACAGTTAAAAGTCCCAGCAGAATTTTCTGAAGGTGTCAACAAGCTCATTTCATAATTTGTATGGAAATGCAAAAAAAAAAAAAAAAAGAGAGAGAGAGAGAGACAAAACAATTTTGAAGAAAAGAACACTGGAGGATTTAAATTATTTGATTTCAAAAGTACTACAAACGTATAATAACTAAGTCAGTGTGGTATGGACAACACATTTGATAAATGGAGCAGAACAGAGTTCAGAAGGAAAACTATGTAAGTTGTGGACAACTGGTTTTTAACAGAGGTGCCAAGGTCATTCAATAGGGAAAGATCATTTTTTCAACCAATGATACAGAAACAACTGGTCACTTACCTCACACCATATGCAAAATCTAACTCCAAATAGATTAAGAACCTAAATGTAAATGGGTGAAAATAAAAGAACTTGTAGAAGAAAATATAGAAGAAAAAAAATCTCTGTGACCCTGGACTAGGCAAAGATTTCTTAGAAATGTCATCAAAGGCAGGATCCATATAAGGAAAAAAACTTGTGAACTGGACATCATCAAAACTTAAAACTTTTGCTTTTCAAAAATACCATTAAGAAAATGAAAAGAGAAGCCACAGACTGGGAGAAAATATTTGCAAATGACAAATCTAATAAAAGACCTGTATGCAGAAGAGATCAAAATCTCTTATAATTATACTTATGATCTACATTAGGTAAGTTTTACAAGAAACGAGTTCATTTATCACATTAAAAACGTAATATTTATAAGTAACTTAAATATTGGCACATACTATGTGTTCAAAACCGTGTTTAAACATTTAATATGGGGGAATAGCTACTTCAGTCTTTTTGCTTATTTTTGTTCATACTTACAACGAACAATGTGTAAAGTTTTAATCTTATTTCCCTCATATTTTGTTGTTCTGATCATATTTATTAAAATGTTATTCTTCATCTGTTCAGTCTAATAATAAAAAATTAAGACTTGAAAAAAATCTCTTACAACACAATTATAAGTCAAGCAACTCAATTTTAAATGGGCAAAAGATTTCAAGACACCTTTTCATCAAAGACAATTCACAAATGGGTAATACGCACATAAAAGAAGCTCATCATCATTAGTCGTTAGGGAAATGCAAATTGAAATCACCATGAGATGCCACTACACTACAGAACCACTAAATCAAAAAGACAGACAATACCAGGAGTTTGTGAGGATGTAAAGAAAAAGGAAATTTCTTTCATTCCTGGAGGGAATGTTAAATGGTACTACTTTAGAAATTAATTTCATGGTTTCCTTCTCTTCATGAACAGCTTAGTTGAGATATAAATCTACTGTTTTAAATAAGTGTAGAATCCAGGGGGTTTTAGTACATTCACTGAGTTATACAACCACCACCATCTAACTTCAAAACCTTTTTATTACTCCAAAATCCTATACGCATTCACCTTTCCCACCAGCCCACTGGTGGGAAAGTTTATATACTCATTCAAAATATATAGTTTATATATTCATCTGTTGACATCTGATTGTTTCCATTTTTGGCTATTGTTAAATAATGCTACTATGAACATTAAGTACAGATTTTTGTGTGGGAATGTTTCCAACTCTACTGGCTATATGCCTAACAGAATTTCTAGGTCATAGAGCAACTCGTATGTTTAACATTCTGAGGAACTGCCGAACTGTTTTTGCAAAGTGCTTACGCCATTTTACAATCCCAGCCAACAATGCGTGAGTTTCAATTTCTCCACATCTTCACCAACACTTGTTGATCATTTTTATTTTAGCTATACCAGATGTGGGTGTGAAGTGTATGCCACTGTGGTTTTGATTTGCATTTCCCTAATGACTAGTGATGTTCTGCACATTTTCAATTGCTTATCAATCATTTGAATTTTTTTTTCTTTAAGAAATGTCTATTCAAGGGGCGCGTGGGTGGTGCAGTTGGTTAAGCACCCAACTCTTAGTATGGCCTGGGTCGTGATCTCAGGGTTGTAAGATCAAGCCCTGCGTTGGGCTCCGCACTCAGTGTGGAGTCTGCTTGAGATTCAATCTCTCTCTCAAATAAATAAATCTTAAAAAAAAAAGCCTATTCAAATCATTTACCTATTTTTTAACTGAGCTATTTGAGCTTTTTTAATTGAGATAGAAGATTCACTTTCTTTTTTTAATTCAAGCATAGTTAACATACAGTTATATTAGTTTCAGGTGTACAATATAATGATTCAACAATTCCATACATGACTCAGTGCTCATCACAAGAAGTGTACTCGTAACCGCCTTCACCTGTTTCACCCATCCCCCCAACCCACCTTTCCTCTGGCAAGCACCAGTCTGTGCTCTGTATTTAAGGATGTGTTTTCTATCTTCGTTCGTTTCCTAAATTCCACATGAGTAAAATCATATCATATGTCTTTCTCTGACTGATTTATTGCACTTGGCATTATACCTCTAGATCTAACCAAGATCCATTTTCTTGATGATGTCCTTGGGGCATAAAAAATTTTTAATTTTTATAAAGTCCATTTTTTTAAAAAGATTTTATTTATTTGACAGAGAGAGACAGCGAGAGCAGGAACACAAGCAGGGGGAGTGGGAGAGGGGGAAGCAGGCTTCCTGCTGAGCAGGGAGCCCGATGCGGGACTCGATCCCAGGACCCTGGGATCATGACCTGAGCCGAAGGCAGATGCTTAACGACTGAGCCACCCAGGCGCCCCTAAAGTCCATTTTTTTTTTGAAGATTTTTAAATCATCTCTACACCCAATGTGGGGCTCAAACTTACAACTCCAAGATCAAGAGTCACATGCTCCTCTCACTGAGCCAGCCAGGCGCTCCGATAAAGTCTAATTTATCTGCTTTTCTTTTGCCACTTTTGCTTTGGAGTCCTAAGAAATAACTGGCTAATCCAAGTTCATAACGATCTATGCCCATGTTTTCTTCTAGGATATTTTCCCTCTTACTTCTTATATTTAGGTCTATGATCCATTTTGTTTTTTTATATGGTATTAGGTAGGGGTCCCAACTTCATTCTTTTGCAAATATAGATAATCCAATTTTCCCAGCCCCATTTGTTGAAAAAACTATAGTAGCCTCCCTTATTGGTGGGGGATATGTTCCAAGACCCTCCCCACCCCCATGGACACCTGAAACTACAGATAGTACTGAACCCTATATACACCATGTTTTTTCCTATTCATACATATCTATGATAAAGTTTAATTTATAAATTAGGTACAGCAAGAGGATTAACAACAATAACTAGTAATAAAATAGGACAATTATAACAATATACTGTAAGTAAGTTATATGAATGTGGTCTATCAAAAGATCTTATTGTACTATATTCACCCTTCTTGTGATGATGTGAGATGATAAAATGCCTGTGTGATGAGATGCACTGAGGGGAATGATGTAGGCACTGTGACGTAGTGTTAGGCTACTAATGACCTTCTGTTATGTCAGAAGGACTATCTGCTTCCATACCGCAGTTAACCACAAATATCTGAAGCCAGGGAAAGCAAAAACGTGGATAAGGGGATACTACTGTATTCTTCCCCCACTGATTTATTTTGGCACCCTTGTTGAAAGATGCAACCTAGAAAGATGTCATTTCTATTTCTAGACTTCGACAGTTTCTTAAAATGTTCAACAGGTCTGACCCAGCAAATTCCTAGGTATCTACCCAAGAGAAATGAAAACACATTATCTATACAAAAACAAATATATTAATGTTCACAGCTACATTATTCATAACAGCTAAAAATTAGAAATGCAATGTTCATCAATTGGTGAATGGATAAACAAAATAGGGTGCAAAAATACAGTGGAATATGATGCAGCTATAAATGGGAATGAACTACTGAAAACACTACAATATGGATGAGCCTTAAAAGCATTAGGAAATGGGGCGCCTGGGTGGCTCAGTTGTTAAGCGTCTGCCTTCAGCTCAGGTCATGATCCCAGAGCCCTGGGATCAAGCCCCACACACTGGGCTCCCTGCTCCGCAGGGAGTGTGCTTCTCCCTCTCCCACTCCCCCTGCTTGTGTTCCCTTTCTCGCCGTGTCTCTGTCCAATAAATAAAATCTTAAAAAAAAAAAAAAAAAAGCATTATGAAATGTGAGAAAAGCAAGACACAAAAGACTAAATATTGTATAATTCTGTTTACATGAATTTTCTAGAAAAGACACTTTAAAGACAGGAAGTAGAATAGTGGTTGCCTAGACTGTAAGTAGGAATGGGAACTGAACACAAATGGGCCCAAGGGAACTCTGAGGGTGATAAAAATATTCTAAAAATGGATTAGGGTGACTTTAGTATATACCTTCCTTGTTAGGGGTATGAACTTTTGTTGACAAGGGCATAAAAGTAAATGAAAGAAGTTCTGAAAGGCTGAATAGCCACAGTACCAAAGTTTAAAGTTTCCCTACTGTCTTCCTTCCGGAAAACAGACGAGGCCCTAAGGAAGATGTGGCTGGGAGAAGAAGGCTCTGCCACAGGATACTTATAAACAGTTCTACAGCTAATACACGGACCGCTAACCTCAA